TCTCTTTAAAAAAAAAGTGACAAGACAATAATTCAAAAGAGAAACATAAATTTAAAAAAAGTGACAAATTCAAAAAAATGACAGAAAACAAAAATAATGACACATTAAAAAAATGACAAAATTCAAAAGAAGTTACAAACTCAGAAAAGTGATATGTTAAAAAAGTGACAAAAATTCAAAAAAATGACACACTTAAAAAAAAAATGATAAAACAACAATCAAAACTTATATTTGTCACTAAAAAGGTGACATAAATTTTTTTAAAAAATAATATACATAAAAAAAAAATGATAGAAATTTCGAAAAAATGATAGAAAAAAGTGATTAACACTCAAAAAATTTATAAAAATGCAAAAAAGTGACAAACACTAAAAAAAATAGTAACAAAACACCAACCAAAACTTTAAAATGCCACTTTTTTATTATAATGTCACATTTTATTGCAAATATATCAAAACCTTAAAATATATCATTTTATGCAAATTCAACCACTCCTCCACCAAGGCCAACTCTGCAAGCGAAAGGCCTCTCAAAACATTACAACAAACCCTAGCCCTTAGTTTCAATTGAGACTTCGTAAAAGGATATACAAGTAACAAAACATGACATTTGCATTCATCAAAACATGATTTTGCCCTTAACACATTGTCAACATATCTCTGAGTCGAGATTGTTTAAGAAATAATAAACTTAAGCAACCAAAAAAAAAAAAATAAAATGGAAGAATAACAAGGAAATTCATAGACAAACACGTAGCATAAATATGCATAATAATTAAACGCCCAATAATCACCAGTATAAAACATAACAACAAACATGGAATTGATAGTCAAATTGGGAATTTTGATTCCCATTCTCTCGAACCAAAATCCTAATCCATAATCTCAATAGATTCACTTGTGTTCGATTCCTACCTATAAGTTTTTTAATTGGTTGTATCCATCGGTTCTTCGAAATTGAATCTTTCATTGAAATCGATTATCTTTCCATCCATCGGCGACACAAGACAATGAATTCCATTAATAATCCGATATGAAACCCTAATGGGATCGCTAATTACAGAATTTGCCATTTGTATTCCTTAGTTTTCCACCTTCCTGTGCCAAATAATTTCTGGAGAGCCAACTCACTGCCGAATAAGCAAAATCTCTTCGGGGTGAATTGTAGCTCTCAAATTCATACAAAAATGGCGAAAAACTCAACTCCTTCATCATCTCCCCCAGAACCCTCCATGCAGCCATCAACGACTCAGATGAACATGACAATTGAACCAACAAATTCGCAACATTTTTAGGGTTTATAAACTATCAGACTAGTAATGGAAACCTTATAGAACAATGCATAACAGAGG